TTTTCTTTTCCTGTTCTCTTTCTTCCGAGACTTGTTCTCTTCGCGTATTTGGTTCGCTTTGTTGATTTGTATGCTTCGCCGCAAGACCGGCCGTCGAACGCGCGTTGGTTAATATACGCGTGTTTGATTGATGCGCGCGGACTGATTGGCGTGCGCGTGTTGATCGACACGCACGAGCTGGTTGACGTGCACGCGTTTGACCGACGCGCATGAGATGATTTGACGTGCGGCGTTGACCGACGTGCACGAGTTGGTTTGACGTGCACGCATTGACTCGCCCATACATTGCTTCGAGTTTCGTGCGGGTTCTCATAAGCATTTTTAGACGTCTACATCTACTATCGAAAAAAACTCCATAGTTTATAAAATATACGATTTAAGAAGAGTAAATTTTACTGAACATCCGATATGTTTGAGCTAGGGATGTCAAATGGGTGGTTTTAGTTGGGTTTTGGTTGGGTCATAAATGGGTGGGTACATTTATGACAACTTGACCATTTATGACCCATTTAGCATTTGCTAAATGGGTCATTTCTCAACCACTCATTTATTAAATGGGTGGTTCATGGGTGACTCAATAACTCATTTTATAAAATTTTAGGGTTTTTTGTAAATTTTTAGGGATTTTTTGTAAACTTTCAGAGGGTTTTCTGTGAACTTTCTGAGGTTTTTTGCAAACTTTTTGGGGGTTTTCTGTAAACTTTTTGGGGGGTTTTTTGCAAACTTTCAGGGGATTTTTTGTAAACTTTCAGGGATTTTTTTGCAAACTTTCAGGGGGTTTTCTATGAACTTTCTGGGGGTTTTTTGCAAACTTTCTGGGGGTTTCTGTAAACTTTCTGGGTTTTTTTTGCAAATTTTTAGGGGGTTTTCTGTAAACTTTCAGGATTTTTTTTGTAAACTTTCAGGGAGATTTCTGTAAACTTTTAGGGGTTTTTCTGCAAACTTTCAGGGGGTTTTATACAAACTTTTAGGGGTTTTATGTAAACTTTCAAAGGGTTTTCTGTAAACTTTCAGGGGGTTTTTACAAACTTTTAGGGGGTTTTCTACAAACTTTTAGGGCTTTTTTGTAAATTTTTAGGGGATTTTTTTCAAACTTTCAGGGGGTTTTCTGTAAACTTTTAGCGGTTTTTCTTCAAACTTTCAGGGGGTTTTCTACAAACTTTTAAGGGTTTTATGTAAACTTTTAGGGGGTTTTTTGTAAACTTTTAGAGTGTTTTCTGTAAACCTTCAGGGAGGATTTTGTAAACTTTTAGGGGGTTTTTATAAACTTTTAGGTGGGTTTTTGTAAATATTTCTTTCTCAATTAAATCGACTACTTGGAAAAATTAGGATAGAATTGTGAGCAAAAGAAGCAAATGATGACGGGGTTGAGAAAATTACACTTGGCCGCACATGCATATATCTTCTGCCGACAAAGAATTGTGAGCGCCTACTTTTTATATTTATATATCATTGAGGGTATTTTTTGTAATTTTTAAAAGTTTGAGTGTTTTTTGCAATTTTTTAGATTTCATATGTCAGTTGCAAGTTTAGAAAATTCTAAGATTGTTTGGTAATTTTGCAGTCTTGATGGTGTTTGTTCTTATTTTCTACAACTTTTAAGGGTATTTTTTGCAAATTATAAAATTTTAGGGGGCTGTTGGTACTTTTTGAATTTCTTGTGTCATCTGTGAGGTTAGAAAATTTTGATAGTTTTTTATAATTTTCAATTCTTGAGGGCGTTTTTATAATATTTTAAACTTTAAGGGTGTTTTTTGCAAATCTCAAAATTTTAAAGGGTTGTTAGTCATTTTAAGTGTTTTCTATAATTTTTAACTTTTAAAATTAAGTTTTGTAATTGTTGAAGCGTTGATGGTGTTTTAAAAATAATATCAATCTAAACGGGTAAATGTGTGAGTAATAACCCGCTCATTAATGACTCATTTATCTTTAATAGAAACTATACTCATCTATTTATGGCTCATTTAACTAAATGAGTGGGTTTGGATGGTTTATTTGGCGGGTGGGTATGGGTGGGCAATTAGTTTTGAGTTCATTTTGTCATCCCTAGTTTGAGCGTATTTCATTTACCTCCAAAAGCTTTGAAAATGATATTTAACTCCGTATTAGTTTGGGTGCTTTTGACTAGATTGACCCAAACACTTCGAAAATTACGCTTAACCCCAACATATTTGGGATGTCCTCGAAACCCAAAATGTTTGAAAATCTTCACTTAATTCCACAAATAGTGTCGGATGAACTGATAAGAATACCAATTTTCAAATTGAAAATCCAATTAGATTTTAATTGAATATAATTCTAAATTAATACAAATTAGATGCCAACTTTTAAAAATTAAAAAAAGTCCAAGAATAGGAAAAGAAGAAACTATGTGGGCAGGCCTAGAACAAGTAACTTACTATCTACAAGCATTTGACGCTTCTTGATTGTTCAACTTCAGCAACCCATAGAAATTATGACATAGCCTAAAATAAGTAAAAGATGTGGCCGTTGTTTCATGCGCCTGACCATACTAAACAAACAAAAAGGAGAAATTATGGTGGTTTTTGGAAGCCATAGAAATTATGACATAGCTAAATTAAATTAGAAAAAAAATGAAAAAAAAGAAACTAAAAAAGAAAGCAGCAGCAACATAGCCCATTAAATTTATATATAATAAACTGTTAACCATCAAAAAAAAATGCAACCCATTGGAATAGTTTCATAACTTCCAAATTGGAACCTATAATTAGTCACAAATTAATTGAATCTGCAGCAACAATTCACTAAATTTATATACACTAATTCCCATCGAATCTTTTCTACTTGATGATCACGGTGAATGTCCAAAAATCCTTTAGAAGGTTTTATATATTAAACATATCATTTAGAATTCGAGGTTGAAAGGTTGAACTCTCTGTCTCTAAAGTTCTAAAACTCACCTTCGCCGTTTTATTATATATATAAGCCCTTACATCTTTCATGATAAAAATGCTCTGAGTTAAACGAAACATTCGTCACATATTAACCGACATGAGCAAATGACATGGACTAACTTGAAATAACCGATTAATTTCAATGATACGAACTAGGGACTGAATTCAAAATAAGAAAATATTAAAAGGCAAAATGGCAAGGGAGAACTTATTAATTTTATTAATGATGTATTCATCCCATTCATTCATTACATAACTTTCATCAAAACAAATTAGTCTCTAATGCGCTGCTCGCTACAAGGAGGGCATGGGTCGCCACCCTTGCAATCACTAGACGTGTAGCATTTATTGTTAGTTAAACATATTGAATTCCCTTGCAATCACTAGACGTGTAAAATTAAATTGATCTTGAGTTCATGCTCGTAATTAACATATTAGACTGAACGCAAGAACATACACCAAACACACATTGATTAAGAGAAGAAAGGCTTGCAAGTAGGGGTGCTAAACCGTATCCGTATCCGATGAAATATCCGTAACCGTATCCGTTAGGATACGAATATGATTACTCAAATCTATAACCGATAGGATATGGTTATGGATATGGTTTTGTAGTGAAATATCCGTATCCGTATCCGAAATATCCGAATACATATTAGTCATACTCTTACGATAGTTTCGATTCTTAGATTATGGATTTGTGGTTAATTTTGATGATCAAGATGACTAATCTTAACTATTTAGTTATAATGGACATATTAACGAACTTTTTTGTATCACATGAAGTATGTTTTTCTCAATACTATCTAGTTTTCTCATATCTGTTTTGTATCCGCATGCATATCCGCTTATATATCCGCATGTATATCCGTAACCGTATCCGATTTTAGCGGATATGGTTATAAGTTTTTCTTACCGAGGTATATCCGTATCCGTATCCGTATCCGAGATGGGTAAGCGGATATGGATATGGTAAGCATCATATCCGAGCCGTATCCGGACCGAATGCACCCCTACTTGCAAGAACCATGAAGAGAAGAGCTAAGCATGCTGTTTTCATTTTGACTAATATTTGATATCACGCAAGGCTTCCATAAAAAATACAGACTTTTATAGCTAGTACGTACTAATGCCTAAATATATGCCAGTAAATCTCAGTAATAATTAAGCAGATCATTTGATCGCCTCCTTCTTTGAAATTAGTTGTATTTTTGGTGATTTTGTTTCATGGACGAAGATTCAAATCTTAGAGCTTATATATAGTACAAAATCACAAGTTTGCCGTAATATACTTCTTAAAGCATATATATCTTTGATGATCCACTTCAATCTTTAATTTTAAATTCAATTAATCTCAACATTAATGATCAATTAATACACGATGAACCTCAAAAAGGATTTGTGATTGAGGGCCAGCAGGTAGCAATTTGACATGGGTAAAGTTAGAATCTACTCATCATAATTAATTAACAAGTTTATAAAATTTATCAGATGCAACTAATTAATTAATCGTCACCTTACAAACGGTCTAGTCCGCAGACAAACTAGAAGCGCATGCATTTAGAACGGGGCTGGTCCAATGCAAAAACCTCCCATTTTCCTTTTATTTATCACATGCATAACCCTTTTTAGATCAAGGAGGTTCAACGTCGACATGCTAATTCTAGCTCCCTGCATGGTTGGCAAGCGGGTCCATCGCGCCAATTCCAGCATCTCCTCTCGTGCATTTATATCCGAATGAGGCAACAAGGGGACCATCATTTTGTTACTCTTTTCTTGAAGTAGTTTTCGTCTCCTTGTTGTTCACCTCTCCATCAGCACCTATTAACTTTTATTTTTATTTATTTATTTATTTTTGGGGGGGGAGGCACAGTTTTGTTTTTAGGCTTGTTTGTTTGTCACGGGAATTAATTTATACACATGAGTTTCATAACCCTCGCGCGCACTTAAAATAAAAAGGGCACATTAATTGAGTTTCACAACACACGTAAGTTTCTTAATGACAACTAACCGCAACATTAATGTAAACGTCGTTCAATTACAGCTAGATAAACCCAACATCACAGGATATGTAGATCAACCAAATGAGGAAACTAACTGACTGTAAATCACAGACGCTCGGGATCACAGCGAACGGAGAAAGTCAGGAGAGCGCTGATAGCTATGGCCACCCACGCGCCAAACGCCAAGACGATGGAGGCCGTCGCAAGGTGGCACTGCGCGGGCACAAAGTGGCAAATCCTGAAATTTGGTCCCAGCAGGAACGTAACACCAGCAGAAGACATAGCCCCTGCCAGAGTCAAGCCTCCGACTATCTGCATGAATAATTAGATACATGTGTACATCCTATATTTAATACACATCACTAATTTTAACGAAATTAATGATATTATACTGCAAATTAAGCAACTTAATTAATTACCCAGTCTCCGACCATGACCGTCGTGATCACGGGAATACTCGCGCACGGCCCTCCCAGTATGACCGCGTATAAGTCGTATACGAGGAGTCCCAAACTCCAGGCGGTCGACGTTCCCATGGTGAAATATAGAGCTCTAAAGTATTAATTGCAAATAATTAAGAAATTAACGAATTAAATTAGAGAGATCAGGGCGGTACGTAGCTAATTAATGAGGATATATCAACTGATAAATTAACTAATTAACTACGGAGTCATATACCTGTAAGCCGAGGTACCGCTGTACTGAGGGACGAAAAGGGTGCACACGAGTGAAGCCGCCGCGAGCAAGAACGCGGGGATCCTCAGCATGAGGCTGGTGATGGTCCCCGGCCGACCAAGCATCCTCGGAGCCATATATAATTGACTGAGAATGAACAACCCAAAAACACCACTAGATATATAAAGTGATGAACGCATGCAAGAGATAGAAACATAAAACTCACTGGCTTCAGCTAGCATATATATGGAGAGAACGCGCGCAAGAGATAGATCGAAACTCTTACCTTGATCGATGCAGCTAGCTAGTTTTTTTCTAGATTATCCAAAAAACTCACGTACTAGCTCTTAACCTCTAGCTAGCACGAAGGAGAGAACGCAAGAGTTAGCTAGGGAGGTCTTTAAAAGGGCCGGGGTCGGTTCGCTAGTTGCCAACGAAGGAAAAAGTGTGAGGCGGAAGCTTTTCTGTTCAGTGCGCAGAGAAGGGTGGAAGGAGGAAGAGCGCGCGCGGGGTTATCTCTTAAACCTTTCATATATATATATATTTAGAAACTAGTTCCTCAAATCATTTACATTTGCTATTAGCTACCCCCACCCCCCACACCCAAAAAAAGAAAAAGAAAAAGAAAAAGAAAAGAAAAGAAACCCCAATTTGTTAAGCTAGTTTAAAAGTAGTCCCTCGAATCACTGAAATTGCCATCATATCCCCTAATTATTGTACATTGTTTTTTCAGATTAACCCCTCTAGTCTAGTCGCTTCTTCTGCTTTTGACTAAAGGATCTTGAAACAACTTATCCCAGGATTAGAGGACATAATAACAATTCTGATAATTTAATTTGACTAATTTTGAAATAACTTGAGATTCTGAAGTCCTAGAAATTTTGGACTAACTACAAAACATGTTTCTACTATCGAAAAAAACTCCCATAATTTATGAAACATATGATTTAAGAGGAGTAAATTTTACTGAACATCCGATATGTTTGAGCGTATTTTCTCCAAAAACTTTGAAAATGATATTTAACTCCGTATAAGTTTGGGTGCTTTTGACTCGATTGACCCACAAACTTCGGAAATTACGCTTAACCCCAACATATTTGGGATGTCCACGAAACCCCAAAATGTTTGAAAATCTTCACTTAATCCCCACAAATAGTGTCGGGTGAACTGATAAGAATACCAATTTTCAAATTGAAAATCTAATTATTAAAGTAATAACTCCAATTAGATTTTAATTGAATATAATTCTAAATTAATACAAATTACATGCACAAAAAAGAATAGGAAAAGAAGAAACTATGTGGGCAGGCCTAGAACAAGTAACTTACTATCTACAAGCATTTGACACTTCTTGATTGTTCAACTTCAGCAAGCCATAGAAATTATGACATAGCCTAAAATAAGTAAAAGATGTGGCCGTTGTTTCATGTGCCTGACCATACTAAATAAACAAAAAGAAAGAAGTAGCACAATTAGAGACTAATTTGTTTTGACTTCGATCAAGTTTGGTGACTCATGATAAAAATGCTATAATTAAGTTAAAAACGAAATATTCGTCGCATATTAACCGACACGAGCAAACGAGGCGGACTAATAATAACTTGAAATAACCGACACGAGGGGAGGGGGGCGAAACATAAATTTCAATGATACGAGCTAGGGACTCATGATGCACGAATTGAAAATAATTAAGAAAATATTAAGAGTCAAAATGGCAAGGGGGGAACTTATTAATTAATTTTATTAATGGTGTATATATATATTCACCACATTTATTCAGTACATAACTTCCATCAAAACAAGTTAATTAAAGTCTCTAAACGCTAGCTGCTCGTTAATTAATTACAAGGAGGGCATGGGGCGCCATCCGAGCAATCACTGGACGTGTAGCATTGATTGTTGGTTAAACATATTGAATTCCCAACTCTGCCGTCGACCATGGTACAAGGATCTCGAGGGAGGCAACATGGGATTACGAGTTTGCTACCGTTTCTGAAGTCCGTTGATGTGGGACCCAAGCTTGATGATTTCTTCACCCCAACCTCACGACCTACATCAAACTCATCCACGAGTACAATCACCGATACTATATATATTAAAAAGAAAAAAAAAATCTTACTTTTAAAAAAAATCTTATTTTTATCTAAAAGCTAGGAATCCAATTCATCAAGAAAAAGAGTTGAAAAACAAGTTTTTAATTGTGGTTCAAAAAGAAAATTTTGTTTTATCTTTTTAGGGGAAATGGAAGAGAAAAGTAACAAAAATTAGAACTATAAAATAAATGATTTTCATAATTTCATGTTTAGCAATATCTTTTGAGGTGTTTAAAAAAAATGCCATAGAACAGAAAAATGTATTGGAGGTGATATCTATTGTATATATAAGAGATTTGTTTTCTAATTTTCGGTTTTCCAGGGTTTTCGAAGAATACAATTTCCTCTGAGAAAATACATGAAAAAAAATACGTGTAAAATTAAATTGATCTTGAGTTCATGCTCGTAATTAACATATTAGACTGATCGCAAGAACATACACCAAACTCACATTGATTGAGAGAACAAAGACTTGCAAGAACCATGAAGAGGAGAGCTAAGCATGCTGTTTTCATTTTGACTATTGGATATCAGGCAAGGCCTCCATAACAAAATACAGAATTTTATAGCTAGCTAGTACTAATGACTAGTAAATATGCCAGTGAATCTCTGTAATAAATGTAGATCATTTGACTACCTCCTCCTTTGAATTTTTTGGTGATAGTTTCATGCGCGAAGATTCAAATCTTAGAGCTTATATAATATAAAATCACAAATTTGCCGTACTACACTTTTTAAAGCGCATATCTTTGATGATCCACTCAATTATCTTTAATTTAAATTCAATTAATATTAACGTTAATGATTAATTAATACTAACATTAATGATTAATTAATACATGATGAACCACAAAAAGGATCATTTGTCGTCGGGGGCTAGTAGTTAGCAATTTGACATGGGTAAAGTAAGAATTTGCTCATCCTAATGAACAAGTTTATAAAATTTATCAGATGCAACTAATTAATTTGTGGAGAATTTCAGATGTTGGTCCAGATTGTGCAGATTTGGTGTCATAAGTCGACTCATGCACAAGCATATATAAGTCGACTTATAGTAAACCGATGATAAGTCGACTTACGTTTTGCTCTGGAATTTGTTGATTTTGGCATCTGGTTAAGGTAATTAGAGATTTGTTGGTGAGATTATTTGGAGTGTTTGAGTGATTTGTAATCTCAGTTTGTACTCTTCTTCTCTATTAGTGAAAACTCCATCCCCTGCTTGCCCCGTGGACGTAGGCAACTTGCTGAACAAAAATTGGTTGTTTGTGTTTGTGCCGTTATTTTGCATCGTTTGTCCTTCTCTCTCTCTGCGTTTGGTTTGGTTCCTCGAAGCAAATCGGTTGTTTGGCTTCCGCTGCGCACAACATAATTGTCACCTTACAAATGGCGGTCTAGTCTGCAGACAAACTAGAAGCGCGTTTAGAAATTAAAGGGCTGATCGATCCAACGCAACAAGGGAGAAAAAAAATATTTATAACATTGAGGAGGGAAGTTATAAAGTATTCCTCCCATTTTATTTATCACATAAACCCTTTTAATTTAAATGAAGTAGGTCCGTAGCGGCAATTTTCGCCGGGAATTAATGTCCAATATATTCTACCGTCTCCTCTCATGCATGCATTTATATCCGATGAGGCAACAAGGGACGACGACTACGACAAATTAATATTTACATGCATTGACCAGCGCATGCAAAGGTTTGCCAAGAACCATGACAAATAAGAACCAAGCGTACGTGCTGCCTTCATTTTGGTTAATCTAGACAAGTACTGGCCAGTTAATATTATTATTATTATGATCACATCAGAAATTAATATTTAGCAAGTTGATTAATTACGTATAATCAATCAGAATATGATCATCATATCGTTAACAAATTTAATTACTATGAAAGATGAACAACTAATCTATTCAAGTAAAACATGCATGTCCTAAACAAATTAAATTCCAGTTTCGGAGGAAAACCAAGCTAAGGAGAAAAAACTACCGAGGTTCTCATACTTCTCAAAATGTTTTGCTGGACAATGCAAAATTTTAAAAATTACTTTTAAGCACCAATAACGATGAGATGACTAAAGTATCAACTTACCACACTTGTTTGTTTGTCACGGGAATTTATATATAGGCATGAGTGAGAAATTAAATTAAGCGGGAAGATTTTTCTTACTTTTTGATAATAAGTTAATAAAATAGATAGCCTACACAATAGTAAAAAATCTAGAAAAATAAAAAAGATAGCAGGTTAGAAAAAGGCAGTGAAAAAAAAGTGGAGCTACACACTCTCAACTTCTTTAACGAATGCAGAAAGTTTAGCTGTATTCCTTTCCTTTCTTTTTCTATAACTTAGCTACTTTTTTATCCTTTTGACGTGTACTTTGTCTGAGAGCGCTTGGAACACTTTGGATTCAATTATTAATCCAACGGCTGAGGGCTTAAACTTCCGGATTTGCGTAAAGCCTAACTTTTTAGAGTGGCAGGTGTTCTGCTTAAGTTATTTCGAAAGCATTTCCTCAAATAATTGGATCAGATAATAGAATCCACAGTTCTCATAAATTGTTCAAACAGATTTGAATCAACTCACGAGAATTGAATACCTGGCGACAGGTTTAGTTATTGAGGCACCAATCTTGAAATATCACAAAAATTGGGGACCTAACAACAATTTCCGTGCTCTAAGGAAATCGTTTCAATACTTGAAGGGTTCAGGTGCTAATATGAAAACAACCGTATAATTTGTTAAAATTCATGGTCTCAAGTGTAAATTTCACTAGACGCCCAACAAGCTCGGGTGTTTTTCCCATTTCGATGGCAATAACATTGAAATTGCTACATATAAACATCGAATAAGTTTGGGTGCTTTTATTCAATCCCCAAAAATAAATATGTCGCGAGATCCCCAAATGTTATTCCATCTTCAATTTAAACCCTGGATGCAGTTAGAATGATGGTCTCACTTAAGCTAACAAGCGCCTGATCTTCTGGAAGCTCGATGGCCTTGCTTCACAACAAGAGTTTGTATTTGCGTGTTTAAAAAATAAAATTAAAAGGCAATGTATACAGATACATCATAGAATACAAAAGAAAGATAGGAAGAGGCGCCTTGTGAACTACATCTCCTAATTCAAGGAAAGAAAAATTGTCTTTACTTTGAAACTGGGCCTTGATAAATAAATTTGTCAACAACAAAAGTAGCATGCCTCATTGATCACTGACACAACAAAAATAGCACACTAGGCATGAAAGGACCCCTCTCTAAGCCGAATTTTCCTCAGTTTCACCGATACATTAATACATCAATACATTTTGTTACATCAATACTCCATACTCGATGAAAGAAATCTTGTTATCGAGTTGAAAACCGGCTCCTTGAACAAGAAACAACAGAGATAGCACCCTTGCTCGACGTATCTTCCACCTAGAATTGCGACGCCTTTGAGTAATATCTTCAACAGTTTATCTGGCATAAGCGTGAAGGAAACGTTACGAGCTCGTTATTTCATCGTTGACCACGTAAAAAAGAAAAAGGCATACGTACGCTACAAATACAGAACAAAAACCAAACGAATGGCATACATACACTACAAATACAGAATAATAACCAAATGATCCAACATGCACGTTGTTGTTGCTCTCTTGCTATAAGATCAAACAGTATGCCTCTATGAGGAGAACGTTGTAATAACAAAAACGCGGAAATTGAAGCCACCCTTCTTCATGGAATATTATACAAAATTCAGGGAGGGAACGAAAGCCAGACAAAAGAACCTACGGTTAAGTCGATATAAATGGCAATAAGAACTTCTGAACGCTACCATTTAATATTCTGAAATGAACATGAAGAGTATATGTTTTGTTCAAATCGCTTTATCTTTGTCCAATTACGTACACTGCTACATCAAGCACAATTGATATTATACCACCTACACCTCACAAGCATCAATTTATTCATAAATAAACAATGAAACACAACTAAGAGAGGCCGATAAGCATAAGAGGGATTCTCATAGAGAAAAGACAAAAGAGTTGTGCTAATTGAACTTCAGGACTACAGACTTCTAGAAGTGGCTACACAATTTTTTAAATATATTTTTTATATTTTTATTTTTTGTTGTTGGGACCTAAGAACTAAAAACAAGATTGTTATACGGACATGTCGTCAAACTTAAGTGACATCTAACAGAGCAGTCTGAACATTCTTGACTGAAGGACAACGTCAGACAATCATATCATCGTGTGTTGTAAATCAACTCTCCCACATCTCAAAGTGATTCGCAACATAATTCAAAATTGTAACAGTGGTTTTTTTTTTCTAGGCACAATAACAGTTTTAATGGTTTTGAACTTCCATTAAGTTATCAAAACTATTCTTTAGGTTCAGAAGCAGAGAGAATATTAGCTAATCTACGTTTCATTGACAAGCGTTACTCCCTTTGCCAAAATTAAGTTACATAGAATAAGATTAAGATGTGATGATATTTGCTTGTGGAAATCCATCCTTATTATGCCGATGGCTTTCTACTGAGACTGTGTTGTGATTATTAATTTCCTAAGGTCACAAACTTTATCATGTCAAGTTTTGGTAAACCAGGACCATTCAGATGTCAATCAACATAAAACAGAAGAAAACTGGAAATATTTTAATATGAAACGTATATAAAAGAAAAAGAATAAGATCAGGTAAAGATACAATAGACACATACTTCAAAGGGAGATTCCTGTGGGTGTATTCTACACCTGTATCTCCGTCAACCACTTGCCCGCTTCCTTTTAAAATCCTACAGGATATGAAAAAATAAATTCAGTCAAGGAGAAGAAATGTGCAGGACATATCATTTGTGCACATGATTTCAATCAAATAGATGTTGCATCAAAATAATATAAATCCAAACATCCTACTTATATTGTAAACTAGAAAAATCAAGTTGGAACCAAGAAAAGTCTGTGAACTATCTTCTGGCCATCTTAGACTAGCAACATGCTTAACAGGGTGGGATCCTCAGAGCATGACTTAAAGAGTGTTTCACCAGCCAGCAGTTTCTATATAGCTATAACTCTAATTTCAGATAAGCTTGCACACACACAAAAAAAAGAAAGAAAAAAAAAGGGAGCAATGCCCTCTTATTATCATTATAAATTGAAATAATAATCTGTAGAGGTTCCCAACAATCCTACCAACATAGGTCACTCTAAAGGCATGAATTCCCCTCATAATTCCAATTAAGGGCTCATCTTATCTTTGTGGCTATGGGAGAAACTAAAAAATAGTTGAATTACTAAGAAGCTTACATACAAAAGTATCTAATATCATTTAAATTCATACCATCGTGTGGTTAGCAGGCCTTCGACACCGACAGGGCCTCGAGCATGGATCCTACTTGTGCTTATACCCACCTTTTCAGAAATAAGCATAAATTTAGTAAAAGGTAGGAGACAGCCAGCAGTTACTTGATAGTGGTTCTCAAACAATTCATACCTCTGCACCAAGCCCAAAACGAGCCCCGTCACAAAAACGTGTACTTGCATTGTGGAAGACAGCAGCACTGGCAAGACAAACAATAAAGATTATATAGATGTCCATTCATTGAAGGCAGACGAGATGAATTCACATATTTTCAAATCAAAATTAAACAAAAGCATTAGCATTAGTAGTCTTGTAGAATAGTGGCTTTGTTTAGAAAAGAAACTACACCATACATCTTTTTGTCAGCATCTCAATCCAAAATCATATAATAATGAATGAGGCATCCATGAAAATACATAGGCAAAAAAGACAAGCTACCACCAATCTTAAGCATATGGTGCAGCGAAGGTTTTGTAATATGGCTATGATGAAATATTGAATGGGGTGCAACAATTAAGAAGTAAAAGAAAACCAATAGATTTAGAATTTTAGTCAGGGGCAAGGACATGCTCGTATTTAAATAGAAAATTTGAACTGCGCATATTTATTTTCTATTGGGTTGAAGAATGAAACTTGAAATTTGAAGTATGCATATTTATTTTCTACTGGGTTGAAGAATGAAATTTGAAACTTTTTTTTGTAGGTTGCAGCTCATAAAAACGACGACTAAAAAAAACTGACAAATATAGTGGGTTATAGAGCCCATGATAATCGTGATATTTGAAGAAAGTGAATTTATTTGCCATCGGGTCGAAATGAACAAAAACTTAAAAATCGTGGGTTGTAGCCCATGAAAATTGTGAATATTGCAATTCTCACAACTAATTGCTAAATGGTAAAAAACTAGACTATAGCCCATGAAAAGCACAAATATTGAACTTCTCAAATTTATTTTCTATTGAGCCGAAGAACAAAATTTGACAAATTTGTGAGTTATATAGCCCACGCAAATGAGATATTTTGTGAAAGAAAATTAATTTCTATTATGTCTAATGAAACTAGACTAATATCATGGGATATAGCCAATGAAGATCGTGAATCTTGAAGTATGTATAATTATTTGTCATTAGCAAAAAAAGAACGAAATTACCCAAATCGTGAGTATAACCCACCAAAATTGCGAATTTTGAAGTAGTCATATTCATAGTTATAAGGTTGAATGAACAATAATAGACAAAAAATTGTGGGTTGTGTCCCATAAAAATCATGAGTATTCAAGTTTCACACAATTAATTGCTAAATGCTCATAAGGTACAAAATGGAAGAATATCATAGACCATACATATAAAAATAACGAATTTTAAAATACACATTTAGTTTTCATTTGGTCAAAGAACAAAAATTGACAAAAATCATGGGATACGTAATATGAAAATCGCGAATATCGAAGTACTGCCAATTATTTGCTAAATTGTCTTAATAGATGAAATGGACAAAAATCATGGACTCATAAATTTTGAAGTACACATTTATTTTCTATTGGGTCAGAGTATGAAAATTGACAAAAAACGTGGCATAGACCATGAAAATTGCACTTTTTGAAGAAAGAGAACCTGTTTTCCATTGGTCAAAACAAACAAAATTTTGACAAATATAGTGGGTCATATAACTCATAAAAATTGCGATATTTGAAGAAAAAAACTTATTTGCCATTGGCTCATTGGATCAAAACGAACAAAAATTGACAATAATCATGGGTTGAAATTTGTGAATATTGACATCCACACAACTAATTGCTAAACGTTCAAAACAGAAAAATGGACAAAACTAATGGACTATAGACCTTGAAATTCACAAATTTTGAACTATGTGAATTTATTTTCCGTTGTCCCCAAGAACGAAAATTGTCAAAACTTGTAGGTTATAATCCCATGAAATTTGCGAAATTTTTATGAAAGAACATTTAATTTCCATCACGTCAAAACTAAGGAAATTAGACTAAAATTGAGGATATAGCCCATGAAATTGGGAATCTTGATGTACGTATAATTACTTGTCATTAAGATAAGACATACAAAAATTGCCAAAACCATACATAATCCACCAATATCACAAATTTTGAGGTAGTCATATTAACTCTCATTAGGAATAAATGATAACAAACAAAAAATTATGGGTTATAGCTCATGAAAATTATGAAATACTGAAGTTTTGCACTATTAATTGCTTAATTATGACAATGAATAAAATGAAAAAAACTAATAAATCATAGACCAATAATAAATTTTAAAGTATTGATATTTTTTCCATTGGGTCAAACCATCAACAAATTTGACAAAAAATTGTGGGTTAACACGCATGAAAAACCGCAATATTTGATGATATTTAATTGCCATAAGGACGAATCTAATGAAAATATGGGTTATAGACTATGAAAATTGTAAATTTTGAGGTACATATAATGACTTGGCATTGAGATGAAAGGAATAAAAATTTCTAAATGTGGATTATAACCCTCCAAATCGCAAATATTGAAGTAATTATAATTAATTCTTGTTGATCCGAATAAACAACAATGGACAAAAATCATGATTATAGCGCATAAAAATTGCAAATATTGAAGTTTGCACATTACCTACTAAATTGCTATGATAGACAAAATGGATAACAATCAACTATACCCAATCACGAATTTTGAAGTACACATTTATTTTCCATTGGGACAAAAAATAAAGATTAGCATCATGGATATAGCCCATGATTCGCAATCTTTGAAAAAAGAAAATTTAACTGCCATTTGGTCAAACTTATTAGCCCATGATAATCACGATGTATGAAGAATGAAAACCTATCTGTCATTTGGTCAAAATAAAAAAAAAATCATGGGTTCTAGCCCATGAAATCACGAAGCTTGAAATTCTCACAACTAATTGCTACATGGTCGAAATGAAAAAAGGACAAAAATAATGGGATTATATAATCCATAAAAATGACGAATTTTGAAGTAAACATAATTATTTTTTATTGAGTCAAAGAACAAAAATTGACAAACATTTGTGGGTTAAAGCCCATGAAAATCGTAATTTTGATGAAACGATATTTAATTGGCATCAAGACGAAACTAATGAAAATACACAAAAGTTATGAGTTATAACCCATGAAAATTGTGAATTTTGAGGTATGTATAATGACTTCGCATTGGGATGATAGCAAGAATTGCTAAAATTGTAGGTTATAACCTACCAAAATCAAGAATTTCAAAGTAATCATCAATAATTTGTTTTGGTACAAATGAATGATAGTGGAGAAATATCTTAGCTATCGCCCATGAAAATCATAAATATTATAGTTTGCATAATTACTTCTTAAATTGTCATCACAGACCAAATGGACAAAGCCATGAACTATGGCGCATGAAAATAACGAATTTTGAAGTCCGCATATTTATTTACCATTGGGTTGAAGAATAAAAGTTGATAAGATTGTGGTTATACCCTACGAAAATCGCAACTTTTGAAGAAAGAAAACCTATTTTCCATTGGGTCAAAACGAATAAAAATTGACAAAATTCATACGTAGTCATTCATGAAAATTGCGAATATTAAAAATCACACAACTATTTGCTACATAGATGAGATGAAAAAAATGAACAAAAATAATGGACTATAGCCCATGAAAATAATGATTTTTGACGTATGCATATATATCTTCCATTAGGTCAAAGAGTAAAAATTGATGAAAAATCGTGTGTTAAAGTCTATGATCATCACAACCTTTTATGAAAGAAAATATAATTGCCATTGGAACTATGAAAGCATGAGTTACAGTTCATAAAATTTGTGAATTCTGAGTGACGTATAAGTACTTGACAATGGGAAGAGAGGAACAAAAATTTACCAAAATCGTGGTTATATGACCCAACAAAATTGCGAATTCGACATAATCATAATTAACTGTTTTAGGTTCAAATGATCAATAACGGACAAAAATCATGGGTTATTGTCCATAAAAATCGCAGGTTATTATCCATAAAAATCGTGAATATTGAAGTTCACACGGTTACTAGCTAAATTGTCATAAATGGACAAAAATCATGGACTATAGCCCATGAAAAGCATGAAGTTTGCATTCGGTCAAAGAATAAAAATTAACAAAATTATAGGTTTACTGTCCATGAAAACTGCAATCTTTGAAGAAAGAAAATTTCTTTGTCATTGGGTCGAAACAAATGAAAATTGACAAAAATAATGGATCATGGGCCCATGAAAATTGTGATATTTGAAGAAAGAAAATTTATTTGCTATCAAAACGAACAAAAATTTACAAAGATCGTGGTTGTAGCCCTTGAAATCCGCGAATATTGAAATTCGCAGAAAGAGTGGATCATTTCCTATTGACCCTTATTTAGTAGAACACTATCATTAGAATTTTAGAGAAAGATTAACGATTAACAGTGCAACAGGCGCACCAAAAAGGTGGAGAAAGTGCAATAGAATTTCTTCCCAGAGTAACTTATGAAACTTTTTTAATGCATTTGTTTTTAATGTATTTGTTGAACTAATGCTTTGATATGTGTAAGCAAATAGACTAACTCGAAGTCCCAAGTTATCATCCGAAGTGTGATATACATTTATATTCATAAGGTTCTACCAAATAAACTACTAGGAGGTTCACAGCCATCTGAATCAAGAACTAATTCGGTAGTCATCTTATGTTTCATAACCATGGCTAGATACCATTTTCTGCACAATATATGATGATGATTTCTATTTTTAGTCGCATGGATCTCAAACTAAATTCTAACAATTCCACTGGAGTTTAGTACTTTCCTAAGCTTATACACCACACCAAAGCCTCACCCACAGATATGTAAACCATTTAGTTCAGTGGGAGTAATGGGACAACGTTTTACTGAGGGCATCACCAATCACGGACTGATGCTGGGAACTATGCTTATTGTGACAAAGTTGCTGTTCTAGAAAGGGTTTCAATAGGTAAAAAATCTCCAACAACCAATAGGGCTTCAAGATGATATTGATTAACAATCAATGCTGAGCATGAAAACTAAAAAATAACAGATCACATCTCATAAAACAGAAAGAAGCTTCAAGAAGGGGTAGGAGATCAACTTGCCTGTCAACCTGATTAAGAAAAGTCTCTGCTACTTCGAGATCTTCAGTGATTATGCAGTCGGTATGTGCACTAGAAACATATTAGAGCCAAAAGTATATATGATACACTTGCTCTGTTAACTGAATCAAAAGTACCTCTGATAAAAACATAATTGAAGTTAGAAATTGGTAGTGATGGAACATCAAAGGGTACCTTCCATGACAATGTATATGGTTAATTGCAGCAAGTACATCGTCAACAATTTCTATTGTGCAAGCTAAGGAGCTGTACTCATGATGAAAGGAATGCGTCAATGGAATCTCTAATTCCACACTTGCTCGGGGTCCCCCATAAAGAGCAACACCTGCAACAGAATACGGCGAAATTATTCAAGCAGAGAAATTTCTTGGTTTGATCATAAGATCTTAAATACTGTTGTAATTTGTTGGAAGTCAATTGAGTAGGAATGATTCTCTCAACCCTCAAGTTATCATTATGTCAACTTGATGTATGGTAATGCAATTCTTAGGGGGTTGTTGGTCTCAAGGACTTGCCTACCAATGTCACATCCAAAATAAGGATAAAAATTATTTACTTTGCCACTTTGCCAGGTGCTGCAACTTACTTCAATCGTCCCCAATTTGAAATGACCAATAGACTTCTATGATCTGGGATCTTCTCAAAGTATAAGCAAACGTTCATACAGCACTTTGTTTATAAACTCTCATTAATCTATGATTTGTTAACCCACGAGTGTGGTTTCTAACAACACAGGTCTTAGACGGTATACCCACACAAAATCTAGACATGAGCACACAACTATATATGTATATTTACTATTTTGAACCAATGTACACATGACTCATAATAAATGTGTTAAGACTTTTGTTTCATATATGACAAGACCATATTAAGGTAAAAAGATCTAACAGAAATAGTTTCTGCCAAAAGAAGCCATAACATATATTGTTTTATACACATTTTCAGCAGATTAAGAATGCTATTTGTTGGACATAGCTGGAAATGGGTTACGTGTCACGCAGCACCTACTCTTTGTCCGAGGAAGTATCCAATGATTCTAACATTTCATGGAAATTTACAAAAATGGAAAGGTTCTTCATCTTAAGTGCTTAATTGCATATACATACTGTTAGAGAATGATAACTATAACTTTTACATCAAATTTTGGACGTTGTTAAGGAACATCTGGAGGTGAAAGGTGCATATTATATTAACTTTAGCTTATAAACACAAGATAATTTATTTTTTGTATGATAGTGAGACCTATATTCTGAATTTTCTAAATGGACAGAATTACACTATGATGGACAGACACACATGTATATACGATTACAAATTCCACACTTACAACAGAAGTGTGTTTCAAGGTTCATGATCATAATAACTTAACCTTTCAGTTGTCGTTATGCTAGACTACTACATCATTATCATATTCATCACATCAATTATAGCTAAAATACCCTCTTTGCTCTAAGGTGCATATCTGTGTTGTGGTGTGTGTAATTATAATTTGCTGTAGTAACCCCAGAAAATTCTGGCAGATACCAATTAATTAATTTGGTAACAGAAGTCATACCTCCACCTCTAAGCTCCATAATTATATCATCAAGTCCTTTAGTCTTCATGAGATCCTTGTGGACTAAAAGCGTCTCCTGCCAAGTAAAGAGAAGTACATTTAGGTCAAGAGTCAAATGAAGCACAAAATTGATTAAGTCCAACATCCTATGTCCATTATAGGTAATAAGTTGTTAAGCTCCAAGCGCTAAATATAGTAGATTATTGTTAACAAATTAAAATTTAAACCAAAGTGTACCATAGCATTACAGGCTGCAGGGTAATCTATCTTGGCATCTAAAACAATGCGCTTTGCCATATCCATATTAGCTGATTTGTCAACATAAACATGACAAATTCCATCTGGACAATACACACTGAAACATTACTATGGTCCTCAAATTCATAATATCAGCGTTACATGAGCAGTGCAGTTCATGAGTAGGATAACACGAAAGGTTGCAATAACGATCACAACTGAATGGGAATAAAGAAAAGCTCACCAGCATGACCTAGAACAGGAATCTTGGTAGACTCCTTTATTTGAGATACCAGTTTGTTGCTGCCTCTCGGGATCACAAGATCGATCACATCATCAAGCTGAAAAGAGCTTGAAATTATGTAGTGAGGAATGTAATCTTACACATTCTGTAGAAACTCCATACTCACCTTTAACAGATCAGGAATGTCATCTCTTGATGTTACAAGCCCGATAAGCTTTTTACCAACATTATCAGGAATGGCTCCAACAATCACCTAACAAAAAATAGAGACTGTTTTTCAGGAGGCAGAGAAATTAAAGTGTGCAAACTAGTCCAACAATCACCTAACAAAAAATAGAGACTGTTTTTCAGGAGGCAGAGAAATTAAAGTGTGCAAACTAGATAATTTTCATGACAACAACACTTGCTTTGTGTTTTTCAGGAGGCAGAGAAATTAAAGTGTGCAAACTAGATAATTTTCATGACAACAACACTTGCTTTTTAAGAAATGAACCTTATGTAATATCGCATTAGACCTAGCAGCTTCCTTCCCACCTTTCAGTAGAAGACCATTTCCACTCCGAATTGCTAAAGATGCAATCTGTAGAGATCAGGCCAGAAGGAGGTTGAAAATGAATTAGAATAATTATATAGTAATCAAAAGAAGCAAGAGATTGCGGGTTTGACAATGGCAAGTAATGTTTCACTAGAAATATGCAGTGGTGCATGAACGATTTATAAACAGCTATACAAGGGTAGAACATAAAAAAATTTATTCCAACTTACAAGTAACAGCATGCAGAGAACAAAAGATTTGGGCTATAACTACAAGTATTAGTTGTTCTTCAAAATTAATCCACCTAAGAACATCCGGTTGTTGGCTTTACCTGAACTAAGGCATCAGGTCGTGATTCAAAAACAATTAGAAGAACTCCCAAAGGACATGATGTCTTCTCTAAAATTAGTCCATCTGCAAGCTAAATAATTCAAAAGTAAGAAGTATGCTCCTAAAGTCACTGTGAAAATAACCAAATGCTACATATTATGGCAGAAAATAATGCTGAATATATATGATTTAAAATTGATTTAAGAATGGAGAAAATTGCAATAGTCAGGCAAAGAAAGATATGATGTCTCAATACATATTCCTTACTTCTGTTCTCATTAGAATTTGACCTATTGGGTCTTCCATGTTGGCAAGGGTGCGGATGGAGTTGGCAAGGCTTGATATCTACAAAGTAATACATGGACACAAAATCTATAAGTTAGGAGAAGAAATAAACTGCATCTAAAGAAGTAAACATGACCAGAATCAGTGTGTAGGCAAATCATGTCAGTGAGAATTCAAAGAAGAACTATCCAAATTCCTTGCCTTTCCTGGCTTTAAAGTCAATCGAGATATCAGTGACGTCTCATACCCAGCTTCTTGCGCAACGGCTACATCAGCCTCGTTTTCAATTTTGATCAATTTTTCATTTGCCTCCAATGCATTAGCAATTTCCAGCAAAATTGTTCTTCGATCTTCTGAGGACATGCTCTAGGGAAAAAAATTTTGTATACATATATAAGGGAACTAGAAATAGAAGAAAAGAAATAATGCACTGTTGTAATGGAAACTATAAAAAAGCAATATAAAAGAAGCGTCCAGAAAATTCCACTTTGTTAAAAAGTAGATCGCTATAATCTACTGTGAAGTTAAATCATATTGTACAAAATCACAACTATACCTGAAGTCGCCTGGAGCACTCTCGTGCTGCAACTGCCATTTCACGTGCACCTGCTTCTTTTGGCAGTGCCCACGAAGCTGCATCCCTATGGAAGAGGGTACCAACCCTCTCTCCTTGAAGTACTTTGATTATGCTATCTGCTGCGAAACCACTGCAAATAACATGAATGATAAGATTGTTTTATTTTGATGTTTTCCTATCAAAACTTTAACTGGTTGTTAGAAGTGATTTCTTACCATTGTTTATCAAAACCAAGTTCTTCCTCCAGAATACTGAAAGAGAAATTTGTGTGTTGGGGGTGTTTTTTTTTTACCCCCA